TTGAACGTCGCCGACAAATTGTAATTACCCTAAGCTCAGGCAGATGTATGGTAGAAAATCCCCCAAGTGAAATACACTACGGCGGAAATAAAATACCCTACGGCGGAGCTCGGTTGCAATTTGTAAATACGCCAACTGCACATGCGTGGTGCAAAATTTTACAATAGGATGCGCTGCCCGAACAGGGCTCAGCATTGCAAATTGCGTACCGTAAAATGGGGTGTTAAGGGACAGTGGGGTGATAAGGGACAGTTGCGTGGGAAAAACTTTGAGTCATGTTAAGTTCCTAATTTGAGAAGGTTAAATAAGAACTTGAGTGTGGTAGTTGACACTGTTTTGTTCTTGACTATAGGACAAAATGGCATGGTTTTTCATGCAAGTGATTTGGTTCAAAAATGGTTTTGAAAATCATGCTACATTTTCACAAAATTGAGACATCTCCAAAACTCTGTGTGTACCACAAAAACTGGTAGGTGTACAGCTAAAATGAATGCATAGGTGTATTGTCACATGTATTGCACATGTTTCCTGAAAAACTTATACAAATCCACCCATTCATTCATCATCCTCTTCCTCTTTTCCGGACACATGCATATTTTGAGGTGAATGTGGGGTGCTAAGGGACAGGGAATAAAAAATAAAAAGTAATATCTAAATATAATATCATAAAGTTTTCTTTCAGTAGGCATGGAAAACACCAAATTCCACATAAAATACTGGCAATTTCATGCTTCTATCTCTAACATATCTTAAGTTATATAACAAAACACCTCAAAACTCCCTTAACACTCTCTTTTACAATGATGGGTCAATGAAGACTGATGTAGGTAAATGTGATGTCATCATAAAAAGGCCAAAACAAAGAGGGCAACATAATGACAAGTGACTAGCTTCAAAATGGGTTTTTGTTGATGACAGAAGGGTACTTTTTGGTTCTGTTTACCTTATAATTAGCACATTTTCCAGAAGCGTAAACTGCATTACATGTAATTGGCTAAAAAGGCCATTAGTGGTGAATGAACCTGATTTGTTTTGCGACAGAATATGCAAAACATTTCAATAAATAAATTGTATGCCCTTTCACACCCCAATTGTGGGCATTTGATGACCATTTCTTGGAATAATATAGGTGTCCCTTAACACCCCACATTGGGGTGCTAGGGGACAGTGATGAAAAATAATAAAAAATAATATGCATGTATATATTTTTAAAACTTTAATGTAGCAGGCATGTAAAGCACCAAATTCCACATAAAATGCTGACAAGTTGATGCTTCTATCCCCAACCCTTCTTGAGTTATATAACAAAATGCCTCAAAACTGTCCCTTAACACCCCGTTTTACGGTACGGTGTGTTGACAGTCCGGTGCATATTAAACAAGAAAAGATAATTTGTCACCAATAAAGAGCACAAACAAATATCAAGCACATATTGCACGTGATAAGTGAATCATTTCAAGGCGATAAAATTAAATTGACTTACATTATTACCTACAGCAAGCATTTCAAGAAGTGTGTTCTGAGATATTTGGCATTTATGTACCTAATTAAGGCATTTTATGTCATTTTCTTTAAATTTATCCTGGTTATTTGCTAGAGCAGTCACACACTGATGATTTTATCATATTTATTAATGGATAGAGTCAAGAGAAGAAAAAACTGAGGGGCACTTGCAATCTTCACAAATGTCATGAGAAACGGTTTGGAAGAGGTCTACCCAAGGTCTACCTATAACCTAAGAAGGCACCTGCCCATGTTCCCGTTGCTGGAAGGCTTCTGGTGTGTGCTGAAATTCATCTGCCAACTGAACCAGACAGCCCGACTTATGGCCAACATATAAAGTAAAAAAGATTGACGAACTTCAGTTGTAAGTTGCTACTGCAATTAAACACGAGATGGAGGCTGGAGCCGTCAAGAAAACTGAATGGAAGCTCAGCCAGACTGCAACAGTCGAAATGCCTACCAAGTGTGACCTGCTAATGGCTTAATTATCTCTTGCAAGCCTCAACATAAGTGCTCAAGAGCAGAAGGCCCCTCATTTACTTGTGTGTGCGCTGATTTGTGGAACGTTGTTAAAATCGGAAACCAGAATTCGTGACCTTTTGGTGATCACCAGTGACTTTTAGCGGTGACATGATAGAAAAAATTGTCTTGATGATTCTCAAAGTTCTTATAGCGAGCTACGTCCTGCCCTTTTAGCATCTTTCTACCTTTCTTACTTTGCGAGATAATATGGCGTGGACAAATACGTCCCCCCTCCATGGCGAAGTTGGCTGAAAGGCCCTCCCGGGCGCGGGTTAAAGAGGCTTATGGGTGATTGAAATGATGCATCATTATGCGCACTCAGATCGGTATGAGTATGTCTTCACTCATCCCAGTTTCTCTACTACCATGAACATTTTATTCATATCTTCATATGCTTTGATGATGCTTTGATGATGTCATGAATGTTACTGCTGAGCTTTATCTTAAATACACAATACATATTGTTAAATCAACTAACATACTGTATTAATCGAATTCGCAATCATGAAGAGAAACGCGCATGAGACCTGCAAACTACGTGATAGGGAAGCCGAATGCTCCTTTAACGGATCAATAAATGATGATTCTGAGCGCAATGGCAAAGCCGCTTTCGAGCTATGAAAGTGGCCCCGCTCGTGTGCACGTGCAAACTGGACCCAAATGGACTTTAGCACGGCACCCTCCTAAACGGTCGCTACCGGCAGGGCTGCGGAGTCGGAGTCGGAGTCGGAGTCGGAGTCGGTCGGAGTCGACAGTTGTGACCGGAGTCGGAGTCGGAGTCGGAGTCGATTTTAGAAACCCGAGCCGGAGTCGGAGTCGGAGTCACCGAAAATCTGTCGACTCCGCAGCCCTGCTAGGTCTGCGGAGTCGGAGTCGGGAGTTGGAGTCGGTCGGAGTCGACAATTCTGCCCGGAGTCGGAGTCGGAGTCGGAGCTGGTTTTTGAAAGCCGGAGTCGGAGTCGGAGTCGGAGTCGCCGAAAATCCATCGACTCCGCAGCCCTGGCTACCGGTGTACCAAATTTGAGCGCAATCTCCCCAGTCGTTCTCGAGATGTGGAAGCGACCCCTGCGCGTGCGCACGTGCAAGCTGGACCCAAACTGACTTGTGCACGGCACCCTGCCAAACGGTCCCTAACAGTGTACCAAATTTGAGCACAATCTGCCCAGCCACTCTAGAGATGTGGAAGCGACCCCTGCACGTGCGCACGTGCAAGCTGGACCCAAACTGACTTGTGCACGGCACCCTGTCAAACGGTCCCTAACGACGTACCAAATTTGAGCGCAATCGGCTCAGCCGTTCTCGAGATCTGGAAGCGTCCCCTGCGCGTGCGCACGTGCAGCAGCACCCTAACCGTGACACGTCGAAATGCATTATCATTTGCATGTCCACCGACATGCCAAGTTTCAGCTCAATCAACCCAGTCGTTGTAAAGTTATTGTAGATCGAACAAATTTGTCACCACTTATTTGGCACGTGGCGCGTGCCGTGTCCCTCAACCTATGACTTTGTGCTATGTTCAGGTGATTTAGCTTGGACGCTTCTTCATTGTAGACGTAGTCTCGTTCCGTTCCGTCGCGTTATTTACGAGAAAGAAGTTGATAAACTTTCGCGTTTTTCCCATAGACAAAGCATTGTGTCATTAGTTCGTGCCCTTACACGTACGGTGGCGCTAGTGTCGCTCAGCGGGAACGGCCTTCAGGCGCTGATTAAAGTGACCCTCCCACCTGAACATTAGTTTTGAGTTGAGATAGCCAAGTTTGCGGCCAGGCTCAGAAACCACCATTTATCCTGGTCGCAACCCCCGCAGCTTTATGGTGTTCAAGAAATTTCTTCCCTTTACTTGCAGGGTGGGACCAGCCAAGATTACTTTACTACTCCATTACAAGATTACTTACTACTCCTTTATTACTCCAGGTGGGACCAGCGTGGTCCCTATCTCTTAAAGGAAACAGTCCACTTTCCTGAAATCAGTATTTTGCTATTGATTTATGATTTTGTATGCTCAAAATAATCATGAAATAAAATAAAACCTTTTTGTAAAAACAATTATTTTCTTTATTTTAATATAGGTAGGGCGAACTATATTCTATGTAAAATAATGTTGGACGCGGAAGCTTATTACGCATTGACCAATCATATTGCGTAGCTCAAACCTACGAATACTGCATTGGCTGTAAGCAGCACGCTGATTGGCTGACGATGACGTGGCTGCATTCCTGTGCAAGGCACGCATTCCTCTACAAGGCACTCTTTTCGGAACGAGAAATGGAATTTCTTCGTCTAGGGTGATCGTTGAGCCGTAAAAGCTCCTGATTTGTGCTAGTCTCAGCTCAAGCTACGAAACTGCTATTCCAGCTCAAAACCCCATGTTAAAAGTGAACTATTTCCTTTAACCATTACGGGAATCTGATGACGTCATCAGGCTTTCAAACGTCCGTTAAATGTTTGACTAAAACGTTTTGTAGCACGCGGTGGTATATGCTGCTTTGCGCGCAACAAATGCCGCACTTTCAAATAAAGTCGCTAGGAACAGCGGAGATCCCAAAAAGTAAACAAAAGTAAAAGTCTAATATCTTGAAAACCGGTGAATATTTTTCGATGAAATTTGGTAGATATTCGTTTTTGCTCTTTCTGAACCGAGCGACATCACTTTCATGCCAATTCATTAACTTTTTTGAAGGTGGGAGGGTCCCTTTAAGCCAGAGTAGTCTGTCTATACTTATTATAGGTCAATGCCTGGTGGTCCCCCTCTATATCGTCACGAGCGCCGGACCAATCAGCGTCGAGCATTGCCGAACGCTGATTGGTCTATTTTTGCTATCCTGTAAATACTGCTCGCGGAAAAAGCTTGAACAGTTGAGGGTCGCGGCTACTAATTATCGCTTGTCGTCACTTTTTGGTCGTTGGAAGCCGGAGAGAATCGTGTGTTTGTTTGTGTTGTATGTTGATGCTGTGTTGATGTAGGCGATTGAATTGCGCGAAGGATGGCGCCAATAAAGTGGATTTCTAATTCACATTTTTAACTAGGAAGTAGCTCTGAAATGGACCGTCCTCGGCCACCTAAGAGACCAAAGGTTCTGCAGCTTAAGTAAGTATCCAGACTGCAAAGTATGGCACGCAGGTCGACGAGGCGCACCAGCCCAAGTTCAAAATCCGCACCAACCCTTCAAACTGAGCCGGAAAATCCGCACCAAAGCGAGCCGAGAGCCTAAAATATCCGCACCGAACCCACAGGCAATTATAATGCTCACTTCATTCATCTCACTATAATTATTTCCCCTCCAATTTCAGTTTCACGAGCAACGCTCACCACGGGACCGCGCCGCGCACTTGTACCGGAAGTTTGAAATAGAGCAAATAGACGGACGCCGGTGACAAAAGGGCGCCGGAGGGCATATTGGGTCACTTGACATTCGGAACTTCTCCCCTCTCTGTGGGCCTTCTACATGCTAAATGTCACGTGTGAATTTGACGAGCCTTGATAAAATCGCCCCAACAAACTTTCGTATGAGTAAAACTAATGACGTCATTCCAAAGTAGCGTGCTGATTGGCAATTCAAACCAGCTGCTCGCAAATGTGACATACCAGTCACCACCGCAACCAGTCTTCGTTCTAATGACGTCGTCATCACGTTAATTTCCGAGGCGAGAATGGATTTGTTCTGCCGCAATTGTTAGTTCATAGAGTAAATTTAAAACCTTTCTCCGTCACCGTGCGTCACCGTGGCTGGCACGCATTTGTAGGGCTTTCCAAAGAACAGTCAACAAGGAAACCCGGCCGGTTAAGAAGACCAAGCGAAGTCCGCACCGCATCAAGGTCCAAGCCAAATCCGCACCGCACCAGGCAAAATCCGCACCGCACCACTCCAAAATCCGCACCAGCCGAACAAGCCCGCACCGACGAGATCTCGTCGAAATTGCCATACTTTGCAGTCTGGGTAAGTATTGGTATGCATTTCAAACAAGTGCGATTTTAATTTGACCTCAAGCAGAGCTGTCAAACCTCTTTTCACCTTTTACTTATTTCAAAGATATGGAGGGGATGAAAACTTAGGTTATCATGTTATAAAAAACCCGGTTTACATAGCATATTTGACGAGGCTCTAGCTTGTTAATTTGGCGATAATTTCGAGGCAGTGGTCTTCAAATATTTAGAGGGGATCATTTTGTAAATTGTTCAGCACCATTGGCATCTTTTGCAACATCACGGACAGAGATATAAGCTTGCAACAAACCCTATGTAAACCGGTCTAAAGTTGCATGAGTAATAATCCACTGAAGAAAGTCATTGCTACTTGGCAACTCAGAAACAACACTGAGCTGAGAAAAAAGGAATTAAAGGCTGTGATGTGAAAACCTGTGATGTGAGCCCTAACCCATGTAAAATGTTTGTGTAAAATTCATTATAATTTTCATAATAAAATGATAAAATTTTAAGATTTTCCAACTGTTAATTGATAATGCTGATATGTTTCAGTGGTAGTAGTTATTATTACATTAATATTAATTTTAACATAAATTACCTCACGTAACAGAGTATTTTTATGCATTGTAACATATTCTGTATTGTTTGTAATATATTTTCTGATCAAATTAATGGTAAATTCCAGACTATCAAAAATGATTTAAAATATAGTAGAAATGTATGTAAGCTGGATGCGCTTATAACATTGCGTTGTTGCCGCTGCAAGGGGTTTTTGAATTGTATATAACTTCAAAACTGTCCATGTCTTATTAAACTGGTACCTTTTTTGTCAATAGAGAATGAGTTGGCCTTTCCATTGACATCAGTGGTCAAACAGTATGTAGGCTGGTTGGTGAGGTATGACTGTACATTCTATATAGATGGCCTTGGGTGTGCCAGCTTATTGTCTGAGATCTATTTCTTCTCATACCATGCCATATGTGTGCTGTTATTTATCAGGCCTCTAAGGGAATCTAGCCTCCATCATGAAGTACAGAACCCATTATTTACTGTCATTGCTCCGTGCCCTTTATTCTTTACTCCATGCCTTCATCTTGGCTTTTTGCAGGAGCCAGATGACTCCTTGTTGTACTGATGTGATATTTTTCTGTTTTGCATCACAAGTATTTGCTTTGTTACACATGCTTCTGGCATCAACCCATTAAAGGCTTATTTGGATAAAAAAGTTACAGTCATTCTTTTTTGTTGGCTGGGATTTGCCTTTCTCACACCAAAACCCAAACAATGGGAATTTTCTGTCTTGGCATGACTTTGTGTGGCTAACCAAGCTTAAAACTGATGATTCTTGTAACTTGGAAGTTGTGAGTTGGAACCCAAGTGAGTTGTGACAATATAGCATTTGTGATGCCTACCAAATTGTGCTTTTTTGTTTCCAGCTAGGCATTATGATTCATTTGTAGACATCTGGACATTTGATTTTTTCTTTTAATCTGTGGGTGTAAGTAAATATGATAAGGCACATGATGTTCCAAATATTTTCAGACCCTGTATTCACAAAAAAATATGTGACTTGCAGTTCTGAATAAGAAATATATTATTGTAAGTGACAGTCATTGAGTTTCACTTCTAATCCAAGGGTTGTCAAAATGAGCCCATAAAAACAGAGCCATCAGCTATTGAATCTTCCAAATTTAGTGTCCAATTTTTGACATGAGGATAGTGATAAGTCCATGAGCAATGCATTACACATCTCCCACAATTTTGCTTTAAGTGGCTGACAGTTAGTTTCCATCTGACCTCTCCATCAGAGCATGTAATGAACGTCCATGCGCACTGTTCCACACTCTGTTCATCGGCTGTAGACAGCCTTAAAATGGATGATAACCTGCTGTGTCTTGTCTGTGGATGTTAATCGATCATTGCAGTGAATTATTGAATGATATTATTGCTGTAAAAGATTGCTGAACAATGTTATTATTTTTCAACACTTACTAAGCAATTCAATCCAATATTTCTCTCAGGACATATTATGTTACCACGTGTCCCTTCCCTCAGTGCCCGCTGCGAGCGCCACCGTCGGGAGCGGATCGCTGCCGGGTTCGCCCGACTGTACCGCTGCCTGCCGTCCTATGACCCGGAGGCACCGCTGCCGTCCAAGCAGGCACTGCTGCTGCAGGCGGCCGAGCAGCTGGCGGCGCTGCGGGGCTCGGTGGACCGGGAACAAGACACTCGCCCGCCGGCGGGCTCAGAGGCGGGTGAGTTACACTGCAGAGCTCAATGCGGCGTTATGCATGGATCGAGTGCAGTGTCTTCAATCTTCATAATGAAAAGTGATCCAGTTAATTACTGTATTGAAGCCGTTTGTGTTATGTAATGAAAATCATAGTGTCCTTCTTGTCCTAGTTGACATAAGATTGACAGGTCTTTTATCGTGTCGGTAGCTCGTCGTCTGGCTGACCTGGAGCGTCAGGTGGCCGCTCTGAAGGTGCGGAACAGTGAGCTCAGCTACCACGTGCTCAAGGCCCGCGGCGGCGGTGCCGGCGGCCGCTCTCGCAGCTCTCGTCGTCGCCTGCCGACTCCCGGTCCCGGGACATCCGGGGCTCCCGCTGCTGTAGCTGCCAGAGATGCTGTCAGCGATACCGCTGCCAGTGACGGATCAGGTGAGACGTTAGCGGCTACAAAGGAGAAATGGTGATGCCAATTGCTATGTATAGTATAATAATCAAATACTGAAAATAGGCGATCTGTTTCGTATTACAAGCTATGTTAATTTTACTTTTCTATGCATAAGTCTTGATTTTTGTTGGTGTTTCAGATGCGGACTGTCCACGCTCAGATGCTGGGGAGTCTGAACCTGGACCATCGGGACGGAGTAGCACCGAGTTCACCGCCAGTCCAACCAGACCTGTCGGTACTAGCTCTGCAAGTGGCCTTGGCAGTGACAGTACAGTGCAGATAGTTAGCGCCACTCCCGGGCTGGTGTCTGCATCAGTCACTGGCGTGGAGCTGGGCTACCTACCCCGCCCGATGCCAGCCACACAGCAGGTCTTGGCCGGACAGCTGATGTCCTTGCCACTACCTGTGCAGGCGTCAGCGCAGTCGCTGCTGCAGTCGTCCCTGCAGCCGGTGACGCTGGTGCAGTCGGCTGCAGCGGCCGGCTGCACCCAGCTGCTTGTGCTTGCGGTAGCTGCTGCGCCGGTCAGCCGACCGCCACCCCGCCTGGCACCGAGACCGACGCCCGCGCCACCTTCGGCCTCCGTCCGTGGCGTGGGTAGCTTGGCGTTACGTGCGGCGACGTGCCATGGGTCAGGGATTGTGTGTCCAACAAGCTGTGTGGGAACGGAAGCTCAGTCTCGGCCAACAGCTGTGGTGCTCACCAGTGTCACCGGCTCGGCTTGCCCTTCACATATCGGGACTTCGGCTTCTGCAGGTGCTAATACCACTGTTACTGTCAGTAGACCTGGTGTTTCGGCTGATTCTATCCGTCCAACTGCTCTGCGTGAATCCGGCGGACCCTCATCCATTTTGGGTGATCCAGAACAGACAAGTGAGCTGCCGACCCGCCTGGCTAACGAGTCTACAACAGAGATGCCCAGCTCGCCACCTACCTACGTGGAAGCTCAGCAAGCTGACTCGCCTCCGCCACCATCGGACCTTCCATCGTTGCCACATGTCACACACCTTCAGCAATCCACCCCATCGTCACAACCAACCATCTCACCTCCACGTCGGCAAGGTTCATCATCACAAGGATCAGTTTCGGGCACAACCTCACGAACGTCCGACTCATCCCGCGCGGCGACAGCCCCAAATGAGAATCGCGCCGTAGCTGCACTCGCATCTGGTCCTAGACAGAGAGTCGCCTTCTTCTGGGGAAAGGGACCCGTTGCACCAATCCGGCCACGCCAACACAAGGTCCGATTCCTGAAACGTGGTCTTCTGAACGGCCAACAACACCGACCGAAAGATTCAAGTGCCTCAAGGTCTTCATTGGCTGGCCGAAAGCGTCGCAATTCTGGGACCGTAATTGAGCCAACATCAGTGGTAGCTACAGAGGGGGATGGAAATGAGACATGCTGTCCAAGCGTGTCACAGCTGTACCCGAACGCTGTCTTCTCCAGGACAGAAGACGTGGTTACAGTGACTGAGAAATCGGGAAGAAGTGCAGGCCCACCCACTTCCGAAAGCGGTCAAGCATGTATCCAGACAACTGCTGTCGTGACACCTGCTTCTACTGCTTCTACTGTTCTCAGTTCGGAGGTGACTTCACCGAGAGAGACTGAACCTCACGGAGTGTCGATACGACCAGCAAGCACAGTCACATCAGCTGAGAACGGAGATGCTGTCAATCCCACGCCGAACGTCACAGTGTCTTCATCTGCTCCTGCTGATACTAGTGACAGGCTGGCAAGTTTGAAAGCTACCGACTCTAGTCAGCCTTCTTCAGCAGCATGTGCGAGTACATTGAAGTCATCTGTTGCTAGTGACAGTACAAGCCATACAGTAGCCAAACTGCCGTCGGCTTCTGTAAAGCTCCCCAGTTGGCATTCAACCTCGCAAGTGGATGCGGTAAGACATCAATGTCCCTCCACGAACTCAAAAGCATGCATTTCTAACCCTCATGCAACAAGCGGTGACAAGCCTGCGCTTCCACCAGTGACTGCCTCCACCTGCAGCTTTGCCAGTCCAAGTCATGGAACGGGAACACAGCGTCAGTCAATGACGTGGTCATTGACTTCGCAGGATGAGACGGCAGCTCCGTCGGCGGTCGACAAAGTGAGCAAAGGAAGAGATGCGGTCAGCTACACCCAGCCCTCAGAAAAGACATCTGCCAGCGACTCAGAACAGCCGTCCAGACACACATCTACCAGCGTGGGAGCTCACACTGAGAGGTCGACAGCTGGAAGTCGAAACACTTGGCGTAGAACGCTCAGTGAGCCAGTGAGCACAGGTGCAGCTTCCAATGTAGTTACAACAGCGAGTAGTGCCGTCCTTCCGATCGTTACGCCCGAAACTTCGACTGCTAACGCTGCGGAAGTTGAGGTCTCGAAGTCCTATAGACCTGTAAAAGTGATCCCATCCTCAACTACGTCCGACGGCCAACGAGCAGTTCCTGAGCCTCCCGTAGCAAGTGGGGTGACATCCAAGTATCTTACTACCTTGTATGAGCCATCGTCTTTGTTGACTGCTCCAGCCATGTTCCGAACGGCAACTACATCTCATACTTCTGTGTGCACTGATTCACGGCCATTGCCGATGTCAGGGACTCTCACTATGTTGCAAAAGTCAACTCACCTGCCTCCATACTATGCACCTCACACAGCTCCATCATTGAATACCTCGCAGATGTCGGAAGATGCGCGAACTGCTGGTCGCCGACCAGCATCGGGCAATGCTGTGCTGAGTGCAGCTACGTCCGAAATCCAGCAGGTTACATCAACGGAATCTCTAGCGGTTAGCGTATCACTGTCAGTAGTGCCTGCGAGCTGCCAACCTTGTACACCCGCGCAGTCGCCAACTGGGCTGTCGTCCATCTACACACTAGCGGGCACACCGCGTCGCAGTGCCTCTCTCTTCTGCATCGATGTTCTCTGTTCGAAGGAGTCAGCCGAACTCAGCGCACCACCGTCCATACCGGCACCGACCAAGCTCAGCGTGGCCGTGACGCCTTCAGTGACCCTTGATGCAACACAGGTCACTGAACTTCAGTCAGTGTCACGCTCCGCCGAGGTTATCACCGCTGCTTCGCCCTCTGTCGATAAGGTGTCGCCGGTGATGTCATCCGTGTCGCGGCCGACAGCAGTTGGTACGTTCATCGGAACGTCGATAGCTTCCACCGGGTCAGCCCACGTTACATCCCCGACTCCAATGAACGTTGCTGCGTCTTTTAAAAGCACAACGCCTGGACCTGCATTGTCTACAGCTCCAGTGATCCCGAGTTCATCGAGCACTTCTTCGACGATAAAGGCAACGGTGAACCCAGTTTCTACCGCCTCTGTAGTGCAAGCGACCATCTCAGGAAGTCAGCGGAACGGTCCGCTGTTTCATGAGCCCACAGCTGGTTCCGTCAGATCCCAGACAAGCGCTGGACCACAGCACAGTATGCGTGGCCCTGCAGTCACTAGTGGTGTGCGCTCCACTGTGGGTCCCACTAGTGCAGGACAGACGCGGTATAGCGCTTCATCGATGATAATGACGGATAGCGCCATGTCAGTCGCTACCACGACCCAAGACCTGGTTGCCGTACCAGCTACTGTCTTTACTTCAGTCTCGTCCGCTGCTTCAGTCACCGTGCCGGTCACTGTTGAGTCGTTACCGACCTCTGCTGCGGTTAGCTCAGTTGCTGGTAGATACGCTCCACTGGTGTCAAGCGGAACTGCTTTAGGAACTACCGAGACGCACCAACAACTTGGAACTACTGCTGCCCCCGGTCCTGCGCCTGGTCGCCGACCTAGCTGCGAGAGACTAGATCCTCTTCCTGTCGTTTCACAGCATCAACCAGTGCCTCCAGCAAGACTACCATACACAGCTGGCCCACCCCATAAGAGCGTGTACGACTCGCGGCCACCCCCGCCAAGGGAGGAATCGACTCGTCGAGGCGCTTCACCAGGCCAGGCAGGGCCGCGTGCCAAGAGTCCCCATGCTGCGCTTCCGGCGCCTCCGCCGTCTTCCAAAAGACCTGCGTTTGGCTATGGAGATGGCGTCAGCGCTCGGTCGCCCGCAGCGTACGAAGCAACAATGGTACCAATGCCCTCGGTTGACATGAGCGGAGCGCCGCAGCGGTTTGCGGTCCGGGGATGCCAGCCACCGGTCCCAGGTCCTGTGCCAGCTCCGCAGCTGCAGTACCAGCCTTCGTTTGGTCACGAGTTTTCGGGGCCAGGTCCGCGGCAGGTGAACATGCCCCACCACGTTCCCCTACAAGGCAAACCGATGCCGGACGCGGCAAAACAGGCAGCATATCCGGCACCCGGACGAATGATGTATGGTATGCAGAGTCGCGCACCGGCGTACTACCACTGCACATCGCAGGTGCCCAACCAAACGTTCTACGCTTCCCAGACAATGTACGAGCCGCAGTACCAGCCGGAGCAGGGGTACTGGTACGGCGCGCCGCAGCAGCCGCCTCCCCCACCCCCACCGCCACCACCTCCGCACAAGATGGTGCCGGCGCGACCGCAGCAACAGATGCCGCCTCCGCCGCCAGCAGCTGCACCCCAGTACCCGATTCCGCCCTTCTATCAGCGTCCTTTCGAGCCGCAGTATTCGGCAAAGCCGGGATACTACAAGGTGCCACAGCAGAAGGCAAACGATGTTGTTCCTCAGGTACTTCTACAAGCAGAGACGCAGCGACAGCAACAGCGACGGAGGCTGGAAGATCGCGGGGCGCAACAGCAGTCTCAACAACAGACTCAGCAACAGCCACCGCCTCCAGCGCAGCAACAGCAGCAGGCTCCACCTCCACCGCCCCCTCCTCAGCAGCAACAACAGCCACAGTCTCAACAAACTCAACAGCAGCAGCAGCGTCCTGTTGCCAACGAGGATATCAGTCAGACGTTCACTTCGGCTTCGGTGATGCAACGACCGCTGACTTCGCAGCAGGCCACACAGCAGCAGCAACAGCAACAGCTGCACTCTCAGCAGTCGCTGCAGACCGACCCTCAGCAGCAGCAGCAGCAGCAACAGCAACAACAGCAGCAGCAACAGCAGCAGCGCGGCAGGCAGCAACCGGTGTCTGGAAGTCAGTCCCTGTTCTCCGTTCACCATCTGGTCAGTCAAGAGCGGAAAGATGAACGAAAAGAACGCCGCAAACCGGAGAAGAAAGGAGCTGGTCGCAGCACTGCCCGCAAGACCAAGTCGAGCTACTCTGCGGAAGCTTTGCTAGCGCCTCCGATCGCGGCGGAGCCTCCGCCGGTCGCGGACAGGCCTTCGGATGAGCTAGCAGAGCTGTGTCAAATGGGAGTGTACAGTCCTCAGTATTTGCCACCTCAGAGCAGCACTTGGGGGCACCGTGGTGGGCTGGGCTCCGCGCCTCCGCCGCCGCCGCCTCCGCCGTCAGCCGCCGCCGTCCAGGCAGGGTACCCTCTGCCGCCAGCCTCCGAGCTCAGACAAGCCAGGAAAGATCGGTCTCCGACCAAAGCTGCGCTGGAGGCACGGAAGCTGGACGACATCCTTCTATCATCATCGTTCTTCGACTGTCCGAACACGTTCTTCCCTGCGGCGACGTACACGCCGCCAGTGGATGACTCCAACTTCCTGGGGGCGATCTTCAGCCGCGCCGAGCCGCCGCCGCCTCCCCCGCCGTCCTCGGCAATGGCTGCGCGGGACGGTCGCCACAGGGGCGACGAGCGGTCCGCGCCGGCCGAGCCGGAGACACCGCGAGGCCAGTGCGAGCTGTGGATGCCGGCCAACGTCAGCACACTGACCAGCTTCAACCTCAGCAACCTGCTGCCCGAGATCGGCAACAAGGTGAGGCGCCTCGTTGTCGCTGAAACGCTTTTCTGAATATTTCCTGATTGTTTTGCTGTCCATTGGCACTATGTGATACTAAATCCGATTTTGATAAACTTTTATCCGCAATGCATATTCATGATTTTTCCAGCTCCCTTCGTTTTTTTATTGCAAGCCCTAGAACTAATATTCGTCTATTATTTGATGTTTCGTTAAAAATATCGGCATTCATATCCATATTCGATAAATGATTGATCCTCCAAGTTGAGGCAGGTCTGCTTTGTGATAGCGTTTATATATCGTACCCCACTAACGACTCTGTCCTCAACTGCTCTGTGTCTCTCTGTAGGTAAGCTCCCCGGCGTACCCTGCCGGCCTGAGTAGCTCGGTGGCCGGCCCGCCGGGGCCGCGGCCTCCCACCCTGATGGGCTCCGACACGCGCAACCTCACTACCCCGGAAATGCCGGGCGTCAACCACCACCTGCAGCTGCCGCCAGCGCCCAGCGCCCAGGTCAGTACCGGAATGAAATAGCAAACCCGTGGACTTCATCGTGCAAAGCCAGTCTCTTCAGCTTTTACATTGACCAAGCTCTGTGTTACACCTGCTCAAGCTTATAATTTTCATTTCGACGTATTTCGGGGTATGGTATATTTGATTTAGAATTATGATAAAACATGTCGCTTTGTGTGGGGTATGCTTGTATAGAAGCTTTGGCTTTGAATGCGCCGTGCACTTTTTTATCAATGCTTGATGGTGATACCGGTGAGCTGAAGTGCGTTCAGAGCATTGATCACCGTCCTGCCCTCCCCTCAGGTGAGCCTGGGCGCGCCACTGCCTCCGTTTTCGTCTGCTGCCTCGCTGGGCTCCGTGGCCACTCTCAGCATGACCAGCCATCAGTGAAAGAAGTGACGAATGTGGAGTTTTCATCGGAGACGTCAACGAGCCCAGGACACGACCAGGCATGGTACAGAAGTCAGAACTCAACTGATTTCTCCTTTAGGGTACTTTGTTGACTTAACCCGCGCCCTGATGGGGTCTGCCGAGCAACGCGGTCTTATGGGGGGTCATTTTGGCCCCCCCCCCCCTAAGATCTCGAGAACCACGCAACATAGCGACAAGCGGTAAACGGCGTTGGATAGCCCCAACGGCGAACTACCTTGTGACCCAATTTCATGGACCTCGGTCAAACCGATGACGTCACAGGCCAGGTCAAAGGTCGAATTTTCACCGTTTACAGGCATTTCTAGAAATGCGTTGTAAAATCGAGTAAAATGCATTTCATTGAAAATCATCGATGGGTAAATGTTCTTCAAACACATATTTTGCTATTTGAGGTCCCTAATACCAGGTCAGGTCACAGAGGTCAGGTCACTGGGGGGGTCACAATATGAAAGTGTCGTGTGATACATGTTTTATGGTCCATTTTACATGACAAATGCGATAATGTGGGTCAGGCAGACTTTTGGGCCTGCTTAGGTCACGTTTTGGTCAAGGTCAGGTCAAGGTCAGGTCAAATTAGGTCAAATTTCAAAGTTGATATTTTTGCATAACATGGGTATCGATTCGATGCAGCTCGTCACGGGGAGTTCAATGGTGGTCTCCGTTTTGCGCTACGAGGTCTAGCATTGCTAAAAATTGAGCTCAAAAATTTGACGTCATCAATTTTTAACAGTTTTTTCGCTATAACTTGGCCAAAAAAAGAGGTATCGATCTAAAATTTGGTATGTATATCGAAGAGCGCAGGGACTATCACATATATTCCGGTTTTTTCGTAATTCGAAAAAATTTGGAAATTTTTTGAGTTTTTCTAAAAAAAAATCAATTTTTTTGATTTTTGGGGTCAAAATCCCAAAATTTCGAAAATCCGAGATAGCAGTTTTGTAGCGCCGTATTTTCTCTACACAACCACATAAAGAACTTTAAAATTGCTTGTTAACTGTAATTGGTGAGCGTTTCAAGATGTCATGTTTTTTGCTCATTTTTACTCGAACATGACCTCAGTTTGACCTCAATAACTCCTGACCTGAGGTGACCTGTGACTTGAAAGCTTGTGTGAAGGTGTCAAATTGATGCCCGGTAAGGTACCCAAAATTTGGCGGCGCTGCGCGCCGCCGTTTTCTCGCTATTTAAGAAAAACCACAGGGGGGGCCAAAATGGCCCCCCCCATCAGGGCGCGGGTTAACCCTATTAGTGGCAGGCTCCTGGCTACCCCTATTAGTGGCAGGGGGGGGGGGGGGGCTGTTTACGACCCCCCCTAGATATCTCGAGATCTAACGGGCCGATTTTCAAAATTCAAACGGCATTCGATTTCGCTCAACGTAATCTACATTTCTAAAAAATAAAAATTAAAAAAATGTCAATAGGGGGGTAGAGGGGGGTAAAAACGGGCAAATTGCAGATACATTTTAGACTGTTTATCACGGCCAGGTTTCTGAACCAATCTTAACGCAACTTTTGCCGATCGATAGAGAATGAACCAGGAATTCACATGGATCCTAAAAATATGCATTTTCAAAAATCATAGGCGGATACAGATCATTGAGATTGGGGGTACACAAAAAGTATAGTAAATAAGGTTTTTGTTGGTACTGTTTCTAAAAAGGGTGGCAATGGTCTTGTTATGTTACAATTTTCTTGTGAGAGAACGACTACAATTGTATTGGTCATGCATAGGCGGTGTCAGGGCACCTATGTTGGGAGGTAAAACATAACCCCCCTTTTTGGACGCCTGGATCCGCCTATTACAGCAAAAACGTGTCAAAAGAGGATGCACAAAAACTTTGTATATGTTATCACATGATACCTTTCATTCACTGTTCGTAAAACTGGTGCATACAGTTATAATACATCAGCATCGTGATCTTCGCCCAAATGTCTCGCTTCACGAATAGGACCCCCCAATTCCCAGTGCTCTGGAGCCGCCCCTGGTAAAGTTATGAACTTGAAATTTTCAGGGAATGTGCCCAATTTAGTTTTAGGAAAAGTCAGAAAATTTCAGCATCGTAGCTTCAGCGGTTTCGGAGATATTCCCGAAAAACCTGAGGGGTGGATGAAAACAACCCCCCCCCCCTGCCACTAATAGGGTTAAAGGATTCCTCTTTCAGTCGCCTTGAATTTACTTTCTGTATTCAAGTTGTATCTTCATTTACGTCAGATCATTGATTACTGGTCTTACACTGTAAAACAGGGTTGAGTGAAATCGTGATCAATCGAAAACACTGTATAGCCTGAAACAGACTCCGCGGTCAGGAAATCGCTTACGAGATCCTATTCAAATACATAGAAACACGCTTGCATCAATTGCACGTACCGCCCGCATGCGATTGATGCGGGCAGAATCATAATGTATTTAAATAGGCTCTCGCGCATGCGATTTCCTGAATGCCGTAAGTCTGTTTCAGCCTAAAGTCTTCGCTTTATTCATTTTTATCATGCGAGTACCGGACCGCCTCTCATGTCCAATTTCGTGATGTTCTACACATTTACCTTATTGCTGTTAGTGTTTGGTATGATGTGATCATTAATGAAAACATCTTGCAAAGTACTTGGGAGGATTTCAAAAACGTGTGGGTTGATAGCGACCACACTGATAAGCTATCAGCAAAGCTGCCAAAGCAAGGCAGGTAACAATGAACTGCAGTGCTCACCTGTATATACAGCATATTCCTTTCACAAGATGTTGAGGCTCCACAAACGTTTTTTCGTTCATTCCGCGCGATGGGGGATATTTCTGGTAAATACGTTTCGTGGAACTCACTCTGAGCCACCACAATCCAGCGCTCTTTTTGCTGGTCAACGCGGAACGGCGCTAGGGCGCCAGTAGCGCCAATGCCTTGATAGGGCAATGGGTGTGACCTGACTAAACTCTATATTTTATGACAGTCTGCACTCTTACGTGACGTTCAGGATAGAATGCTAGTAATGGCTGGTCGATTGGGTGATGTTTGTGGTCATTTTTGTGATTTTTTTTATAGACGTGACTTGCGTTGTCTGATGCGTTGTGTTTGTATGACGGGCTTATCATTCGCGTATTTTGACATGTTATCTGATTGGTAAATGCTGTTGCCATAGGCATTTAGTAAGTTGTCATGTTTGTTACTTGTTTATGCTCGTTTTATTTCACGGCAGACAGGAACACTGCCATCATTCCGTTTCATGATGTCGCACCGCACGCGTTTTGGTTATCCGAGGTCGTATGTGGTTTGGTACGGGGATGCCATCTGATGGTTGTTCACCGAAAGCCGAGTTGTCCGTTGACTCAACACAGGTGGCGCTGGGTTAGTGGTGTGACTGTGTGAGCTATCGCTGGCTATCCGTCCGCTGTATGGTCTAGCCGCCTATAAGTGTTGGGTGAGCTGAACAAAGTGAGTGAACACGGGTAGCACCGACTTCCTCAAAGTTTGAACCCGTGTGATGCGGTGCATTGAGGCGAGCTGTCTGTGTTGGAAAAGCTCAGCACCTAATTGGGGCAGCTGTTTTCAATGCATTCATAGCCTATTATTGTGATTCCAGAGGCAACATGGTTAACCACGATGATTGTGGTCATTCAGTGTAGTTATTCAGCCAGAGTAGGTTGGAGGGCTGAGTGGGTATGGATGTGATCCCACGTCGCCTGTTTTGTTTGTCATACCAAGCTGATCAAATATGTGCTGAATATTGTCACATTGTTATTGCTCATCACCATCATCATCTATTGCAACCTCATCATCATCGGTGTGCAATACACATTCATGATTCATATTCATTGGACATTTTTGCGTGTTTTGGTATTCCTTGTATTAAACAAAAATCCTGTTATAACCCAGAGACTTAGCGATAAATGCTCAAGTCAATATGATGTGCATTATGAACTCTACTGCCATTGCCTTGGCATTTGACGCCCCCCCCCCCCCCCCCACGCACACAAAAAGATACATTTCGTCCATTCGAGAAGCATAATCTGTGACCTCGCCCCTGCACCTCCTGTCGTGTCTCGTGTTATTTTAGTCCAATATCCGGGTTACATGAGAGAAGAAGGCGCAGGATTGTCATTTGCTTTGTCCTGCAGTGCCCGGTACTGAAGTCGTATAATGTTGACGAGCTAAAAGGAGACAGCTGCTAAGGCATGACATTTTCTCAGTGTGAAGCCACATATCTGCATCGCTGCGAAGAACCATGCTTGTTCCTGATGTTCCGTTTACTGACCCGGACACGCAGGCGGGAGTAGAAACTGTGTAAACTTAGGGGAGAGACGGTCGTCCCAGTTTACATCATCCGATCGTGGTGATCGGGGAGCGTATTCTGTTCCGAGCACTCGTCAGCCACCAGGGCTCTTCATGTCGCCCTCGCTTCCTCGTCTTCCGTCTTCCTCCAAAGCCTTGCGCCGATGAGTAGGAGAGTGTATTTACAAAATTTCATATTTCACTATTGTACATAAAATACGGACGATAGACAGTATACCAATATGCCCGCAGGCGCGGCGAGAAACAAGCTCAACGTATGCGTCACCGTCCGGCTGCCGGGAGAGCCCCTACCGCGACCTTTGTTCACAGTCATGACGTCACGACAATGGGTTCCTAAACGTACGGGCAGCGGCCGCCTCAGGGGTGCCGCCGTGACCTTTGGACGGCAGGTTCTATAGCGTATGGCACAGCGGTTACTAGGAAGGCTGAGGCAAGCGGCAGGCCGGTTTACAAATAACAAACTTGACGCGCAATTGACAACAGGTAACAGATTGATTAATAAAGTGGTGACAATATAAATGAAAATGACAACATGAAATGACAAATCGCATAGATGACAAATCGCACAGATGATCCCTACAGTACCCCCTCGCCAGACATGTCGCGGACAAAAGTGACATGGCGATATCTTACCGGAGGTCGTATGACGCGGCCGGAGCGGGTCGTCCGTAGTATCGGCTGAGGCTGCAATGGTGCAGCGTCAGCCCGAGCGACGGCTGCAGGGCGAGTTGGTGCGTCACCG